GTGCGAAGGTTCGATCACTTGTGTTGAAGTGATATTGTCTCGACCAAATTTGTGTTGTCTCCTCAGGGAAAGTTCCTTGGAAAGCTTAAGGCAATCCTTGGCAATAATCTTGAGTTTGTTTTGAAATTTTGAAATATATATATATATATACTAAATGAAATATTAAAAATAATAGTACTTTAATTCAAGGGCCAAAACAATATTGATTTATTGTGTACTTCTTTCTAGGCGGGTTGTGAATACTACATTTATGAATCAACACTGAACAGTAATGCTAAAATATTAATTGAAAGAGGAAAACTAACAGTAACTCATTAATGGGTTCAAGCACAATTCAGAGGCCCGAAACAATATTGATTTATTGTACTTTGCATTGTGTGAGTGAGTCTAGGCGTGTGAATATACAACTGTCAATGAAAATTAATATCGTGCCAATAGTGATAATTTTAAGCCTCATCAAACTCAGTGTAATATAACATCATGCACACTCTTAAAATATTTAGGGACGCCTTATTGATTCAACATTTCCTTCTTAGTTTAGAACATTATCCTTCCTGATGATGTTATAATAAAGAACTCAATGTAATTAAGTACGTCAACTCAAAATTCAATAGTTCAAGTATATTGCGACAATATACTTTGCTAGTTGACGAACAAGTTTTAGATGAACATAATATATTAAACTCGCTCGAAAATTAATAAATGGATAAGAAGGGAAGAAGAAATTGGTAAAGAGATTGGTGTGTAATATTAATCGTACGATACGGTACCGTATTTTGTGAAATGTTTGATTCACGCTGTCAAGCAGAGAGGATGAATTATTGGATTGCTTTAAAGTAGAAATCGATTGACTGCCACCAATCGATTTTTAATGTCTTTTCTGTTAAGCCTCATCCGGTAATCATCATGTTAAAGCTTCATCCGGTAATCATCATGTTACTATGGTAGAACTAATGGTTTATTAAGAAATTCGGATCATGATGATGTCAGTTAATTATCAATAATTTCAAGTTCAAATGTCATGATCTTGAGATCTCAGGTAAGGCTGGGTAGGTTTTTTTATAAACGTTCTTCTGTCATCATGACGATTTCATTGTGACAGGGCCAACAGATAATATAAAATTCAAGTCAATTATCAAATTTATTTAATCTCGAAATTGACAGCATGATATAAATACACATGCAGAATAAAATTCACAAAGGACTTGTTCGATCATGTAACAGTTAAAACTGCAAAGAGATCGTTCTTAAACAAGTTCGAGAAGGTAAAAAAGTGTAAAATAAGTGCATTTCTTTAAAAAAAAAAAGCCAGAGAATCAGTTAAAATGTGTTTTTAAAAATATTAAAAACAGTTAGGCCTATAAAAAATTATTAAATTTTTAAAATTGTTTAAATTTTGTTAAAAGCGTAAAAAAGAAATATCGTGAGTCACAAAAGGATTTTAAAGAGGTAAAACTGTAAAATATTTCTAAAAGTTGGTTACAGTAACAGTTTGTAGAAAGTAAGGAAAATGCCTTAAAAGATATCATGTTGTTTACGTTACCGTGACACAGGTTGTAATGGCTGCAGAGAACTAAGTGCTTTTTAGGAGTTCCTTGTTTTTTTGCATTTTTTTTAATTGAGTGATTGAAGTATTGGTATTTATTTTATATTTATTTAAATCATTCCAGAGGACAAGGCCTTTGTAAGAAATGTCAACTTTTAAAATTCACTGTCTGGCATTGAGACCGTACAAATTTAATTTATCATGATGAAAGTTATAGTTAAATGTGTTGTATTTTATTATTCTTCTTAAAATAAGGTGGTACATTAACATTTTTAATATTAGGAGTAGACATTCTAATTAATTTCTCTAGGTTAAAGAAATCCACTAAATTTAGTGCCAATTGACTTGCCTTGTCCCATTTTAGATTACATACAATTATTGCTGCCCTGTTTTGAATTATTTGCAATTTTTGCATAAGACTAGATCCGCAATAGCCCAGATTAAAATACAGTAGGTTAGATGAGATATTAATGGTTGTATTAGAAATGTTCAGAAGTATATGTTTTGAAAACAATTTCCGACATCGTTTTAACATGAAGTCCTTTTAAGGCTTTCTCTCCATTGCGAGTAATATGACATTCCCATGTAAGATTCTCATCGGATAATTACTCTGAGATGCTTAGTATTCTTATAACAGGGTCGCTATTTATCTGAAATGTGGAACTATTGTCGCTATGATGAGCGAGTGTCTGCCTCGAATTGAACACTAAAAACTTAATCCATGTACCTCTTTGGCCAAGTTGACGTAACGAAGAGTGTTTTAGCAGTTACATAAACTAATTTACTGTAACTTGTTCGGATGAAAGTGATTTTAAACGATGATCCCTCGCTGTGTATTTCGTTTGTGACAAGTGTCCTTAGGTAGGTTCAAACACAAAATGCGCTGATTAAAGTTGCAACATTATGGAATTCTCCCCGGGGACATGTGTTCCATATGTACCAGTGGCGGATTTAGGGGAGGCCCACTTTGGAAAGTAAATAAAGGTTGAAAAAATAAATTATTGATCGCCCAAAATGACTCAGAGATTATTCTTCAATTTCAAATAAATGACAACTGATTGCCGTGTAATTTTTGTATTTTAACTGAATTAATGTAGGCCTACCCTTCTAATCCGATTAGAATCTGGCGAATTTTGGCCGATATTTAAAAAAAGTTTGGCTGAATTTGGCCGTGAGATGGCGAGTGTTTGGCCGTGAAACATCGACTAGGCCTATCTTTTCAGATATTTTTAAAAATGGTTGGTTGCAGTCGCATATGTTAATTGATCAAGTTGACGTGGATAAAATGTATTCAAAATATCTTGATTACCTAAATTTTATTTCACAAATATAGACCAAATTGAAAGAACATGTTGACAGTTGGGGCATGCGTATCTATAACGTTCTTTCAAGGCTGTAAGTAGGAAGCAGTCTGGCTGGCCGGCCCGGTTATGCCATGCCGGACCAACATTATCTGTAGGCCTACTTTTGACACATCATCGTTTTTCGTTTTACAATTAAGTATGGCCTGACTTCAAGCTTACCATGCCTCCATGCTACAAATTTTCACAAAGAACTGTTAAATTATAAGTTAAATCTAAAATTTGTTTTTCTTCATAAAAATATTAAATTCAAATAGCGTTTGTCAAGTGTCTGGTGTCTGCAAGTCGTGCATCAACCTTAATTAGTGGTCTATGTCATGGAGTTGTTAGTGAAAGTTGATAACTCTAATGTTTCTCCAATTTTCTCCTACTTACAGCTATGAACTCAGTAAGTAGAAAACAAAAGTACTGTATCTTGTGGAGAACAGATAAACAGACAAACCGACCCTGCGCGGTGGAGTACTGGGCAATAAAAAGTGCATACAAGCGTTAGTTGGCGTCCTACACTAGCTGCGTATATGGCGTATCGTTTTTTACCATGTTTTTACGCTCTCAATGAGCGTAGTTGACTCTCTTGTTCTATTTATTTATAATTATATATACTCTTTGCTATTGAGCTCAAAATTTGCACGTCTCATTTCTCTTCATTGAGTGCATCATTAGTCCACAAAGATACGAAGCGTAAAATAAATGCTAAATATCAATATCAATATCAGTATAATCTTTATTCATCTCGCATGGAGCAATTCTTTAAAACAGGACTGAATACAAATATCTGTGATGTTTAATGTTTTTCAATCTCAACAGATTATAGTGTAGTACAGGCCTACTATTGGAAAGTGCATGCCTGGATTGTCAAACTAGTCGTCAAAAGGGTGGTTTTAGATGTGTTATGACTTGTCTTAAATTACTGTTCGGAAACCTCGCATTTAAACACAGCATATATTATTTTACGCCACCATATATGATTAATATCGTTTTGTTCATTGATGTAACCAATTAATTTATATTTTTTCAGAATGTTTATCGGATAATAATCATTCATTTTATCTTACCAACTGAAATACCATATTTGTTCCATCCCTTATTAAATGCAAAAGATAGGCTTCGTTTATTGATTAATCTCCAAGTAGTACATCCATTTATTTAATTTCAATTTTTTTTTACCCTGGATGAAAAAAATGCAAGAAACTATAATTTACATACATCCGTACATTTGTTCACGTTGTTGTAGTCGTAATCAAAGAAATGGAGAGTGATACGGTCGCTCGCTCATCATTGTTTCGTTCGATGTTATCAGATATAGATAATCACATTTTTGATGAGAATTTTGCTTTATTTTGATGTGCGTTTGAGACAGGAACATATCATAGGAGTGATGTTTTGCCCTACCTAACGTGTTAACGTACCGAATACTCAGTACGTTTTCAAATACTTGGGAAAAATGTCGCTAGTGATTCGGGTAGGAATCGAACCCCGACCTCCAGATAACTAGCCTGGCGCCATAACCACTAGACTAGCGAGCTTGCACTCAGTCTTGCTTTAGTTTACAGATTACTTGTTACTACCCAATAATGAAAATATTTGTTTTACATTGCTTAGTTTATTTATTTATTGCCTATTGTATATATTATTATATTTAACAAATAATCTATTTATGACTACTCTTACTTTTATTTCTTCATTGAAAAGGCTTTACGTAAAACACTTTTGTAAATACCCGTTTTCCCGATTGAAATTATATCTTTGTATGATGTATTGGAAAGGATTGAAATGTGAAATAAAGTTACTGATTGGTTGACAATAAAAAAAAATAATTTTTTTATATATTAACAATTTAAACAAAACCAAACTTCCACCAAAATTTGTATAATTTGAAAAATTCTAATTAATATATTTCAGGTAAAGTCATGGGATGAACTTGAAAATACCGAGTACTTTACTGGGCAATCAGCTGAATATAAACAAAGACAAAAGCTGACGATTGCGCTCTCAGACATGACGTTAGATGAAAGGCATCGTATTGGTCATAGTTTGCAAGACATGCTCCTCGATTGCACGTGGAAGGGCTATCCATGCTCACCGACGTAAGTACCATCGAATGGTGGACTCTCCCGTCAGTCGTAAGCTTGATTTTCTGAATGTATTACACTTTGAAGAAGTAGGCTCTCAGCAGCCAAATATCTGCTTACTTTAATATCCATTTTTGGTTCCTTTGCTGTGAAGAACCTTTGTAATCGTCCTTTCATGTATGACCGTTCGTCTGTGACGTTGACGTCGTCAAATTCGTCGAAAGTTTTTTAACAAGCAAACTTGAATTTCCAAACGCCTGTTTGTTATGATTTTTTTAATTTTTTTTTTTCCATTCGTGTGTATTGCTCATGTAAATGTGCCCCATTTCTTGAAAACATTATTGGATAAATATGAAAGATCTTATAATATTATTTTAAGATCTTTGATAAATATTAAAACAATACACGAGGACTGTGTTACCTCCCTCCATCCAAGGATTCGGAATAGCGTCAATATGAGTGGATTATTTAATGTATAGTTTGATAATAAAATATGTATTATGAGCTCTCTTTTTACATCATACAAATAGTGTAATATTTTATCGAAATGGCTGCATAGGAAAATCGGTCCTCCCAGCAGTGGCAATAAGGATGGACAGTGCAGTCGGTGCAAAGCACTGGGGCCCAGGGCTATTAGGGGCCCGTTCAATAATAGGTCGATAATTGGACATATTTTGAGGGCTACCTTTCTTTAACAGAGGAATTACGTTGGCAAATTCCATGGTATTAAGAACACTCACTTTACAAATTGGTTTTACTAATATCAGGAACGAATAATGCTTTTGACTAGATCATTATTTATGTTTTCATATCCTGGGCTTTTTTTTTAGGTCATTTATTGTATCAGTGACTTCAAATTCAGTAATTTGATTAAAAAATAAACTGTCTCTATTTAGTACATTCAAATAACTGGTAAATGATTTATTTGTTATCGGGAATGATTGTGCCAGATGCACCAATATTAGAGAAATATTCATTTAGGGATTTAACTATGGAGTTAGTCAGTAATGGTTTGTCCGTTGACATGCAATTTACTAATCCCGGCAGGAGTTTGGTTAGGGTTTAATGTAGGATTTATTACTTTCCATGTGCCTTTAATATCATTTTCATCAAGCTGATTTAAATTGTAGAAAATAATATTTTTTTCTTTGCTGCGCGTAGAACAGAAGTAAGGATGTTTCTATAGGGCCTATTTGTTATATTTGGATTTTGATTCGGATGTTTTTTAACTTTAAACTGATGAAAAAAATTGTTTTTGTTAATTTATTTTTTTTAATTATTATTATTATTATTATTATTATTATTATTATTATTATTATTATTATTATTATTATTATTATTATCATTATTAGGCCCTATATTTATTTCCTCCATAAAAATATATAAATATATACACAGGGACATACAATAAAAACGACTATACAAAATTAAAACATTAAAATTGAAAGAACAAGAAAATCCATTGAAACATTGCTCTTTTATTTCATTTTATTTATTTATTTATTTTTGCTATTTCTGATTTGATGGGCTCTTTTACGAAAACACTCATCTTTTAAAAGTTTAATATTACTTATAAATAAATCAAAGGCGATGTTGACATATATTAGAGACTATCATTCTAGAATCAGGAAAAGGTCGGACATTGGTAAAAATGTTATCGATCAAGGTTGAAGAGCTGCCAGTTATTAGAGTTGGAAGGAATTCAGAGTGTCAAGAAATTCACTAACACCCAAATTTACATTATGGTGAAGCAGGTCAATGTTTAAGTCTCCTATGAGGAAAACGTTTTATTTGTTAAAATTTTATTTGAGAGAATGTTCTCAATTCCATCATTAAATAATGGACAAGGCACTTTACTTAGGTTTGCCTCTCTCCACCCAGGAATATAAATGAATCCTGGTAGGATGGTATGGCATTTAATGTATGGGTCGTACGCGTACAAGCAGCAATGACCAGGGATACTCCCCAGGAAGCAGAGAAAGTTGCACAATGTGCGGGTCAGCCAACTCAGTATCCAGTGACCAGGGAAATAATGATGAGCGCCTTGTATAATCGCCTTGTATAATCTGTTAGGCGCTATATAAATTCTGGTTCTAAAAAAAATAAATAAGTAAACAACTCCAACAACAACGTTTTTTTCTTAGGACATTTTTCTATAACATTTATTTGTTAATACATGGTACCGGTATTAGATATAAGATTTATTGCAAAAATTTAATATGAAAATGAATGTTTTATTTACTTTTCTTTAATACTTAATGACATTTGATTCCAAATTAGTGAACACTCTATTGACTCTGCCTTATGCCAATGCATATGTGCAAAGGACAAGAACAAGACTGTGCTGCTATTTGTGGCAGAAGTAGTCTTTTATACGATTTTTAGACAGCATTGAACAAGGTACGATTTCAAGCTTAAAATCACAGCTTAAAATGATTTTGTTGTTAAATGTACATCTGCGATGAAACATTACATAAAAGTCAGGAATGTAGTAGGCCTGTACACTTTTGAATTAGCTTTTTTTATATTAGATTCTCAAATAAATTACTTGGAAAATGAAGTCTGACCATGATTTACAGAAATTTCCAGTCAGCCTCGGTGTTCGGTATCCAATGTTTTGATTTAATATACCCCATACAGATGACGTCACTACCCAAGGTAACCAAGCTTTTGTCGACAAAATTAATTCTCTCTTCATAGAAACAAATCAAACTCATAGAAACAAATATTGTTATTTTGTGGCAACAAATTAATTTTCATACAAAAATATCATTTTGTCGACAAAATAGCATTTAGTGGAGACAAAATAAATTCTGTTTTGCAAAATCATGATCTAATGGTAACAGAATACATTTGTCGAAAAAATAGCATTTTGTCGAGACAAAAGGGTATTTTGTTGACAAAATAGCGAATGTCCCAAGCGGCGCCCCGTAGACCAGGGGCTTAACCGCGCGTCCCGTACCTTCCATTTTTTTAGAATAGTATATACCGCCTCGAAAGAAGACAATATACTAAAAAAAAAACCACTTAATAAAAGTTAAACATCGCGACCAGGACGTCATTGTTGTGGGTACATAGCTGATTAAAATAGCGTAATTATTCGAATAAACGCCCCTGGACGTTCATTGTTGAGAAGGGTATTTAAATAGGGCGTTTATTCGAGGGAGGCGTTTATTTATTTTTATATTTTTTTTGGTGTAAAATGGATAAGATATACTCAAATAAATGCCTCTTAATTATTTTAATGTAAATGTGGAACTAACGCATAGTAATCACGTCAAAATATTATTGTGTGATCGGAAATCATAAAAAAAGTAAACTTTAATCACAGTGATTGTTGAAGTCTAAAATGCGTATTAAACTACATGCATGTTATCAAAATAGTCACAATTAAGCTATTCCATTGTAGAGCTAAATGAAAACAAGCCCACCCAAATTTGTCCACCCTACTGCCCACCCCACTTTAACACTTTGGGTGTTTTTTGTCAGGGTGGTTATTGTCCTGTGTGGTTTATGTGGTACATTCGCGTCATCATAAAGACTTGATCCCAATCAGGTTAGAAAAAATTTAATTCTACTGGAGTAGAACATTAGCATGTGTTGAGAATTATGCTGCTTCCACTAGATTTGTTCATATTCATTTGGCGGGGGTGGGGGTGCGGTGGGCGTTCATTCGAGGAAAAACAAACGCCTTAGGCGTTTATTCTAATAAACTCAATATGTATAGATAGACCCGGCAATCGTTACTTAATTAAATTAGCTATTAGCAATAGCCTTAATGTCAATATGTAAAAATAATAAAATAATAATAACTGTTTGGGCGTCGTCTATTCAAATGACAATAGTGAAGAAGATACACATGTTTAGCTAATCGGTTGATATGCAGTCAGAGTGCTTATTTCATATTGATTATTTCAGATAGTTAATTGTCGTGTCACTAATATGGCGTCTGCTAATCGTGGATATGTTGCAACCTATATACACGACGAGTTAAATCATGCACACCATAATAGGTACTTTACACAAGAGGACGGGGAGCTGTCGACACCGGGAATTCGGTTTCACCCAAGTGTTTACCGTTGTCTTCACGCTCTCATTTGGTAACCATAAATTAGCAGAAATATTTGATAATTATTGTAAGGTACTTCTCGAAGGCGCATGGAAATTAAGATCTGAAATATATAAATCCATGGCCACATTACCACCCGTTACACTTTAATTAGTTTTTGTATTTCCCTTTATTCTGTTAATATGAACCTTTATGATCAGTTAGTTCTAAGCTCTATATTTTGCTATAAATATATTGTAATATTAGTTAGTTGTCTGTTAGTTCTAGCTCCATATTAATACAGCAACTCTGTAAATAATACGGTCCTGTAAGACTACCGGTACCATACCACATAAACCTACATGCCATGTTGATAAATTTTACTTTGTATACACATTTTAATTTAATTTACTTCTAGTTTAAGTTTATTATTTTTCTCTTATATTTGGATGCACCGTTGGGTATTGTCCAACGTGTGCCACTGTTACGAAAGTGATATCCATTAAATTGATATTGAAATTGAAATTGAGCACAGGACCACCGTCCACCCATTTTCCCGTCCTATTGCGTTAAGTGCCTAATGGTTAAGGTAGTAGGCCTATAAGCATTCTATCGGCTAGCGTGCACGTCCAGATACAGCTATTAAATCTGAGTTTACTATAGGAATTTACTAAAAGTGGTGGAGGCAGTACTATGGAATTTTTTTGGGGGGGGGGGGGGGGGGGGGGGGCTCCTGAGGGGGTCTTCTATACACCCGTCTCTTATACACATCTAGATGTGTATAAGAGACAGTTCTACAACACTCAGGGCCGGATTTAAGGGGGTGGCCCAACCCCAGCCCCCTTTTGGGAGGTAAAAAAAAATATTTAAAAAAAAATATATATATATATATAAAGATAGCATAGAACGCCCCAAATGTTATTTTCAGGGGTTTAGAACACAAAAATTTCGAGGGGGTATTCCCCCGGACCCCTTAGGGTGGTGTTGTCTAATCCGCCCAACGTTCCCCCCCCCCTCCTTTTTGGACATCTCTGGATCAGCCCCCGACACTAACCAAAGTCCGTAGTCGGCCCACTGGATTGGTAACGCTCTTAAACTTGTTTGCATATATTCAGGTATCTGGTTGTTACACTTTCAAACAACGACCTTTAAATTTTCATAATTTCTTTCAGAAATTTCACTAGATTTTACCACTACCGATATGGGAATTGCTACACTTTCAATAATGGACAGCTATCATCAATACTTACTACCAACAAACCGGGTCCAAATTACGGTATAGTCAATTTTTTCATTTTCATCATCTTTAAAACCAGCATCATTGTCACCTCCTACCACCGATGCTGTCGCTAGTCGTTATTACCGTGACATTCGTTGTTGTCGTTGTTCTTATTAGATCTTTTTCGTTGGTGTAATTGTAATTTGAATTGTAATTTCAATATTGTTTTGTTCAGTTAACGTTTTACTATTCTATCGCAGCATTTGTGTCATGATTAGTGAGGGCGCACACTCTGTAGGTAAATTCGAGTTTTAATAGGCTATACTTTTCGCCGGGTTGATATTATATGAATTGATTTTTTTGTAATCCAATCGTGAAACCAGTAGGCCTACTGCGCGTGATGAGTTCACAAAAATGCAGAATAATAAATAGATTACCATTACAACGACATCCTCTACTTTCATCATCACTACCTCTACGTCATATATCACCATCATCATGCCACCATCATTAATTGATTTGCTTAATATTTTTAAATAGGACTAAGTCTTGAATTATTCGTCGATCAGTCAGAATACATGGACGATATCACTGATTCAGCCGGGCTACGGATCTCGATCCATGATCCCAATAAAATGCCCTTTCCCGAAGACGATGGTTTGTATATTGGTCCTGGTCAGCGGACATCCATATCCACTCGCGTGGTAAGTAAACAATTATACTATTACGTACAGTATACTCACATATTTATTATCATAATAATAAATATTGTGTTTTTTTTTACACATTTTTCCCATTATATCCTTTATTCATCTTTAAAATATAAAATGATACAAGGATAAAATATAAAAACAATATACAATTCTAAAAACAAATAAATAAGGCTCTAGGTTACAGTTTAAAAGACATTAAACTACAAGAGAGAAAAGCAAAAATTAAAATAAAAATTTAAAAAAAAGAACAAGCTGTCATCAACTAGACCCAGGCCCAGAGTTAAAAATTCAGTATGGTTTCTAATGGAATTATCATATTGTCTGCTATTATTATGATGATGATGATGTTGATAATGATGAGGATGATATAATAATAATAATTATTATTATTATATCATCATCATCATCATTATCAACATTATTATTATTATTATTATTAACATTATTATTATTATTATTATTATTATTATTATTATTATTATTATTGTTGTTATTATATCAATATTATTGTTTCACAGATGGAAATTGATCGATTAGGCAAACCTTGGGGAGATTGTACAGATGTTAACAATTACAATACTACAAATATTTATATCAATATGTATAACGTCAGTTACAGTATGCAGGTAAATCTCAGACACTTTCTCTATTGTTTACATTTACTTATTGAAAAAAAAATTATTCCATTTTAGGCAAGAGCCCGATAGTCAGTGGTGGCTCCAGAAATTTGCTGGCGAGGGGTACGACGTGTTCGACGGAGGGTCCGAAACAATGGCCTGACTAGAGCCTCGACCAAGATTCCGGGAATAAAAATTCCTGGTAGAGTTCAGAAGGAGAGTTTTTATAGCTTAGTATGGTCGAAAATTGTGCTTTTAGATCACAATATTAAGCATTGGCAATCAACATAATGTTTGGTTAGGAAAATTAAGATTTTTGGTCCAACGACCTCGTCGTGGCGCCGGACGACGGGCATCCAGGCCTGTCCCTCCCCTACTTCTCTGCTTGCGCCACCATTGCTGATAGTGCAATTACGAGACGTCTATTACTGCATATATCGATCACTGATATATACATATTGTATAGTGTGTTGAAACCTAGTACTGTTACGTGCACTGAATTGAGTAACCAAGACAATTTAAAACAACTTTCCTTCTCTTTAACGTTCAAAAGTTATAAAATTATAGCATTACCGCAAGACGATTTAGTATTTAACTTTATATTGTTCCATAGATTTATTTTTATGACAGTAGCCTTTCGATCCCGAGTAGATCCCGTCGTGTCGTCTAAAATACTTAAGATGATGGTGTATCATAATGATCTGATACTCTGTTTTGGCAACGCATCAAGAAACAGCGTTGTGTGAAAACAGTTACTGCTAATCGGAATCGATTTTTTTTCTCTTCTTTAGCGTTAATATATATAGGCCTATATATATATATATATATATATATATATATATATATATATTAATCATGATATGATAGAGATAAACTCTAGACAGTCTTGCGGTAATGATAAAAGTAAATAAACGTTAAAAAAGAAGAAATCTGCGAGTGCGTAAAAATGGGTATCCCAACCAGGATTCCAACCCGGGACCTTCTATCTATGCAGATGTAGGCAATCGAGGCTTTGGAAATTCAAATCCGATTAAATTATCTAATCCTTTGCACTCAAGGGCATGCGTATAGTTAGTACAGTACTAAGTCCTTGATGCATGGAAAATAACAGAGATTAATATGGGGATCAACCTGGGCTCGAACCCGGAAACTTTCGCATACATGGCGAACTTCATGACCACTTGACCATGAAGACATTGTGGTGATTAAATCACCAGGTAGAACCTTAGTTCCTTTCATTCGTTTGACGTCAAAATTTTCCGAAAGGTCCACTGATTAATCTCAGATAGGATAGTATAATTCATACTCCAAGTATTGAAATGCACGCCATCGTGTCGGGATTCAATATTTCGACATTAATGATGTCATCATCAGAACCCGGGATCAAAATTTTCCGGTAGCACAAATATCGCACGTGACTACAGACTGCCAGAGATCTATAAGAAACTTCCTCTTCTGTGCATTTATAAATTGAAACATAACAGAAAAAGAATCTGACAAAGAAAGAAACTAATCCATAGCAGAAGCCATGGAAATATCTGTTTGATTTTGTTATAGTTTTATAAATGTGTGTTCTGCAAGTCAACTCTTAATGATTGTACATCGTTTTTTCATTGTTTTTACAATTTATTTCACTTGGAGCATACATGCAAACACACCTCAATATATATATATATATATAAAACCTATATATATATATATATATAGTCTATATATATGTATATATAGGCCTATATATATATATACAGTAAATGTAATTATTTAAATTATATATGCTATGATTTAAAAATGTGTTGAATATATATATTGTTAATGTGAGTATTTATATCACCTAATTGATATTAATTATTTTCCATTATCGCGGTGCATTTTGGGAACCTAGGCATGCGAAAGAAGTTGCTATCAGTATTCGGTAATTGAGCAATGCAGCTGCGCAGACACAAACTTCCCATTTCCAGTTGAACTACTTAACTTAGTACCATGTGATACAGAAGACAATGAAACGGGTAAGAAGAATGATGATGAGGATCATAATGTGGATAGGAAAGTCTACCGATGACAACATATTTAATTTTATGTCATAATTTTATGTTATATATTATCAATAATACATTATACATTTTTTTCCCAATTTGATCATAGAAACATTATTTTATAGTTGTATAATTGACATATATTTTATAGTATCTTATTGCGTGAAAAGAGAAGCATTATGTAAACAGACATACCGCAAAAAGGAATTTCTTAAACATTAAAACATGGCACTTGTTCAATGTATGTTGAAATTTCTAAACACTATTATTGAAATATGGATACACCTTCTCCAGTAATTTTGCGTACATGTACATTTTTAATCTATATTCTGTGCAATACAATGTCATTATTACTTCAATGGGTAGGCCTTCGATTTGATAGACCTAGTGCGATGTTGTGAGGATACGTCCCCGAGTTCCCGATTATTGAGAACACAATAATCCAGTGCGTGAAAAAAATGAAAGTTACATGTCATAAATTCTAATATATGCCAATTTGTTCAATATATATTATAATAAACCCCTCTAATTGTTTTCAAGCTCGAATTTGTATCGAAAATATGGAGGCAAAGTACGATAATGATGAGCTCATGTGTAGCTGCAATCAAACATGCGAGTAAGTGTAGCATTAATATTTAAACAAGACTTGAAATGCACTAAGTAATCAGAAACCATAGGCCTATTTAATAAATGATTTGCACACCCTTTATATCCAGCCCCAAACCAATTGCGCCGGCTGAACGCTTGACCGTGGCGAATTGTCTCGGTTGAGTGACGTTTAATAGCACTGCAGCTACGACATTCACCAATATAGGACAGTAAAAAACAACATTGATCATGTGACGCTTCTTTGTTTTTCAGAGAGGAAATATACCTCACTTCAATAAGTCAATCGGAATGGCCCTCCCAGGGCTACCAGGTAGGCCTATGCTGTTATGTTCTCTAAAACATGATTTCTTTTTCTTGGTGGGGAAAATATAAATGTGTAGGCCTACATTAATTACTCTTATGATCCAAAATATTCAACAACAATCTCAGCTCCATCAAGATTCTGAGGTGTTTGATGGAACTCTAGATGGCCGGAAGCACGCTCAGACCATGCCTTTTGTGTTCAAAGCAAGTGTTTTTTTTTGTTTGTCTTCTTAAAAACGTGTTTAATTAACGTATAAATAAATAACATATAATATATGAAAAATAAAGAATAAACAAATTTTAGCCTTATTTACTTAAATTCACTACACTGTCGCTACAGTTAAGATAATATAGTACATACTCCAAGTATCGAAATGCACGCCATCGTGTCGATACTACATTTCGTTACTTGGAGTATGTATTATACTATCTTACCTGTGATTGATCAGAGCATGGAGGTATACAATTTTTTATACCTCCATGATCAGAAGACCTTTCCGTTTTTGTCGCTACAGTATTTTCTGTGCAATCGTTGTACTGCGTAGCATTTTCCGACGCAATCGGGACTCCCCGATTTGCCCGACCAATCAGCATCGCTGAAAGCTGCCGGCGATAGCGTGTAGCGATTGCATGGAAACCAAGCTTTAATGGGCGCGGTCGGACGTCGCTCAACATTTCTCGGGGAAGTGATCCAGGGACGAAGCTCCTGGAAAGTATGACAATTTAGGGGTTTCATAGGCTTATTTAATCGGTTTTAGAGTCTACTACTAATCTTTCTACGAATTATATTTTTTTTTCTCCGACGGAAGAGGGTGTTCCCCGTGCAACTACTGGCGCCACCCTTGCGAAGATGCACTCAATTTACTGCAATGTATTTCTTGAGAGCTTACCTCATAAATTATTCATCTTTTTATATTCCTGTTAAAAATATTGAGTCATCGCACTATCCTTTATGTGGTTGTCATGCAACGCGTACGTACGATTGAATGGAGGCGCCAATTATTTACATATCTAGGTGGACGTTGTGATGTGTTAAATTAACTTTATTGACAAGAAACTTGTCAAAAAACAATGCAACGGTACTTAATATAAAATCCATCAACACTTTAATACGGTTTAGTCTATAGTAGTTACCTATAGAAGAAGGTTCCTTTATTTGATATACAGTATTATGTATCTCTTTATTTTCAGAACACGTTATTTAAGAGAATGGAAGAGAGAAATTCCAAAATGCGATCTAACGTTAAAGGACCTGAAGCAGATGACTGGACTAAGTAATTATTTATTTTGCAATAATGAATATTTATTAGATTATATTAGAAATTCTCTGTTGAATAACAAGATAAATGGCCATGACGTACCAAAGTGACACATCACGTGTGTTTGTTTAATCAAAAACGCACTTTTGCGCAAAATTTGTGACTCTCCCAATGTCATTATTATGAGGATAGACTCCCTAACGCCTGCAAGTTAATCAAGATAATTAAACATCCATCAATTGGAACGTGAACAAAGCTAAATTTAAATACATCCCAGTCTTTCTAACTTGTATTTCCAATAATAGAAGGAGTTAATTTGTTTTGATTAATACCCTCTACCTCACTAACAGGAGAAATGTGGCAAAATTAGATGTATATTTTATGGAATTGAACTACCAATACATCAAACAGAGTCCGGCATATGAGGTAAGTACAAATTAGTTATCGTCTTATACTCGAAGCTTTTCGCGTTAATTCTGATAAATATCCGAGAGTAAAGAAATCAGCAATTGTTAATAAAATGAAGAAATTCAATTTCGGGTGAGTTTGACAATTTGCAATACCGCCATCTATAATCTTTCTTCGAAGCCGTCGTTTACATTAGTAACAATCAATTACTCAGCAGCCCCTCGTCACAGATCAGAACAATTCGGTTTTCGCTGAATTACCGACCTTTACGAAATCCCACAAAATTTGACAATGCAGCATTACGCTGATTTGCTTAAAAGGTAACAATAAAACAAGCTGAATTCAAAATATATACACGTCTGTAAATTGGCGAGAAAATATTTTCTCATCCTAATTTTCAAATAAAAAATTACATAAATATACAAAGTAACAAACTAAAACACTAGGTATATTTTATGTTTTTAGCACGGACAGAATGACACCACGAGAGAATGATAGAATGACACAGCGACAGACAGACGGACTAACCTGATTGCACTCGGTGTCATCAATTCGCTTCAGCTTCATTGGCCTATTAATATCTGTATAATGCGCCTTATAAATTGATTGATTGATGATTAATATTGTTGAATGATTCTCTCGACACACGGACATGGCATATCATAACAGGCCTACATTTTAAGCGGGCATTCTGAGTGGGTCAATATGCTGAGCTCTTCAGCCTCAATTGAGTGCTGATGCTGTTTGTGATCATAATACGCACATCACATTGACCATTAGAATGCTTCACGTAAATTCGAAAGTAGAGTTTGATTAAGATACGTATTAAACGCCACCGCAGGCGGATTAACGCAAATGCAACCTGTGGCGAAGCTGCGTGGAGCTCTCCTAGGCAAGATAGAACGTATCCATGATGTAATACATGTGCGGTTGCATTTTGCAACAGTACGGTAAACGCCTTATTGGCGGTGGTGGCTCCATTTTGCGACTTTCCGATTTGCGACAGTGGTCCAGCAACTTTGATAGAGGTCCGAACCAAGGGGCCATCTCCTTATTCGGATCAGCAAGTTAATACTTCTAGTCCGACGACTTCGCCGTGGCGTCGGACGACGGGAGGTCCATGCTCGTACGACTTGGGGAGGGGAGGACTATTTGTTTCTCACTTCAAAGTCACTGCTAATATTCACACTGAAATTGAAGTGGTGGTTAGACGCCTTGACGCCACTGTGCTGCGAGAGCTAGACTTTTTTTTCACAAGAAAAAGAGAAAATGTGGAAAAGGCGTGTTATATCTTACGTTTGTGTTAAGCTGCTTGGGGTTGCATTGAGAATCAAGCTGAAATATACATTCAAGTACCAAGCACTTGTAATTGAATAATCTTGCAAGTAATTGAACACGCGTTGCAGTGTTCGATTCTTCTAACGAGAAATAAGATTAGATATATAAGTTTACATGATTTTAGCAACTGTAATAGAAGTAATAATGCTACCGCGTTAATGTCGTTGAATAACATGATCATGCTGTTCATTATGATTATCGTTCCTTGTATGTATATATATATATGTATATATGTATATATATAAAGATAAAACTGTTAAATTATATATAAATCATCAAATCAAAGAAAGGTAATTATAGTGTTCGAATAAAGGACATGACGGGGCATCGTGTAGCGTAGCTATCAACGAATTTTGTCCTCTAAATAAATACATTGTGTAATAAAATTCCTCCGACGGGACGAACCTGCGAATTCTCGCTGTCAAGGCGAGCGTCATAACCATTAGCCCACAGAGGCTTTATGGTTGAACAGATTCAAATATCCATCAGGTACATTGTATTACACAATGGGTGCGTTAAAAAAGAGCTATCTTATTATTCAATTCAATTCAAATTTATTTGAATTTATTTGAAGCTTAATGCAACACATTACATATAACAAAACAATGAATAATGAAAAGATAATTTAGTAAAACGTTTACAGCTTCGGATAACCCATTAAAACCGAATCGGTTTATTTCCGCTGGAGTCCCTTAAATAGATAAATTACATAAAAGTTGGTTAAAAACTAAAACAAACATTTACATTTGTTAAAACCTTTAAAATTACTAATGAAAGTAAATGAAAGAAATAAAACCTATTACACCTTAAAAGTACGTAAAAGTGAATGTAAAAAAACAGGTAAAAACAAACATTAAAATTTGTTAAAACCTTTAAAATTACTTATCATTAAGTAAAACTAATAAAATCAATAAAAACCCAAGTTAAACCTTAAAAGTACACAAAAGTGAAAGTTAAAAAGCAGGTAGTAAAAAGCGGTAGGTATAAAATGTCACTAATAACTATGTTCATGTTTAGAACATACTTATACGTTAAAACATTTAACTGATTGTTTGTCATTTCAGATTTTGTTGCTAAATATAATTTCACTCTTTTTTGAATAAGCTTATAACTTAAAATTGAAATTAATTGAAGCCCCCTATTTAGCCTCGAAAAGAAGCCCAAGGGCTTCATTTCAAAATAGCATAGGCTTCTTTTCGAGATAGTACAGTACATAGGCCTACACTGTGCATGAATTTCAGAAAACAAATTAATTAAAAACAAGCTTGGTTTATACATTAGCTTAGGTGATTTAATGCCGGTTAAATACACTCCATAATACAAAATTTATGTTACAATGACCTTATTTATTGTTTAATAGTACAAATTCACAAAATTTACAGCATTCATTTTGAAAAAAAGCCCCGATGCAAAAGTAGTCTCGAAACGAAGCCCATCTCGAAAAGAAGCCCATCCAAATGTCGCAAAAAAAAAAAAAAAAAAAAAAAGCCCAGGGCTTTAATTAGAGTTTTTACGGTATTTAAACTCGGTGAAGACTTTAATATATAGTGTAGTTTGTTCCACTCTAGCCGCAAATTCCACAAAATATCTTACTGTTTTGACTGGTTATTTTAGGTTTTACGAAGTTCATTCTACTTTATCTCGTATTGTAATTATGCCTTTCGAAAACTGTTAAGATGTGTGTTGTGTAATAAAATTCCTCTGACGGGATTTAAACCTGCGACCTCTCGCTGTCAAGGCGAACGTCATAACCATTAGACCACAGAGGCTTCATGGTTGAACAGATTCAAATACCACCAGATACACTCCATTACGCAATAGGTACGGCTAGGAACAATTAATTGAATATAATATAAATAAAAATAGTCGTTAACACTGTAAATTATATATAAATCATCATCAGAGAAAGATAAATACAGTGTTAGAATAAAGTACATGGTAATATATCGTGTAGCAGCTCTCAATGAATGTAGTCCTATAAATGAATAGAGAAATTGTGTAATAAAATGCCTCTGAAGGGAGTCGAACCTGCGACCTCTCGTTGTCAAGGCGAGATTCATAACCATTAGACCAAACTGGCTTCATGGTTGAACAGATTCAAAAACCGCCAGATACACTCCATTACACAATAGGTACGGCTATAGGAACAAATAATTGCAGAGGCCTCTTATATAT